ATCTTTGTAGTTTTCGCTGCACTCTGGGCAACACCATCAAAACTTTATTTCTTCGCAGACTGTTCGTATAGGGACCTTACACGTTTAATAATACTGTCGGTATCGACAAATGCTGACAATATTATTGATCGTATGTAGTTAATATTGATGGATTGGTGTAAAATATTGACAGTAAGCTAGATTTCTTTATTTTCGAACATCAGTATCCCTTACAATGGTACTCATGCTCAAGAATAAATAAATTCGGATTACCATCAATAACATTGTCAGTATTCGTTGATACTGACAGTATTATTGAATCAATATATCAACGAATACTGACAATATTACTGACTGTTAAGGTTCGTAATATATATAGAAAATTGAGCTGAAATATTGTCAATAATTGTGTATAAAGGTTATAAAAATACTGATCAGTATTAAGGATTCAATGTGACTCATCAGCATTTCATTAATCGTGTGAGATTCGCATTAAATGTTATAACATGGACACTGATCTTTGGTATTTATTATCTTATGGCGAAAGCTGCATTTCAAGTTTTGCAAATAATAGATAGTTTTACAGATCTTACAATTTCGGTCTAGCTTAAAAGTTTTGAATATGCAGATTTTTAAATGATATAATTGAGCTAAGTTTAATGACAAAATATTTGCATGTATACTAATTGGTAGTATTTCACTTTTGCTCTTGTTTTCTTTAGATTTTTGTAAATTACGTTCGTTCCATACATATACCGTACACGAAAAACTATCTAGTAATAATTAGTATTTCTGTGATTAACAAACGTGTATAAATAAAAGTACTTATGTCACAGAAATATCTATACTGAATTATTTTAATAAAAACAAAATGATATTCTGTGAATCCTTCGTTTCTCTATTAATAACATTGTACATCAAGGAATGCTCAATAGCATGAAAAATACACACAATTTATTCTGTATTATAATATTACAATTTAATATAAATATCCCATTAGGAATTTAATAAAGAAAGTTGGAGATTATTTTGAGTGTGTTATAAAATGAAGATCATCATAGCGTTGGTACGAGATGTAAAAAAGGAATAATGAAGCAATGACCCATTTGAGTGAGTCAGGACCAAATCAAAATAGAATAGCGAATACTTTATTCTGTTATGAGAAATCAGGACAGAACAAGTCTCGCGTAGGAGAAGCCGGCAACCTCCAGCGAGTCGGTAATTGATTACGTCACGACGCCGAGAGGAGGATCACCCCGCTGCTGGAGAACAAGAAGGGAAAGGAGAAGCCGGCTATATAAGTCGAACGGGGTGGAAGAAGTCGGACGGATGATGAATGTGCTGTCTGAGCCGTCGCGTCAGCGAGGCTCTGTTGCCCGTTTGTAAACGAGCTTCCTCATTTTTTCGCGGCTACGCGCGCTGCCAAAAGTATCAAACTGTCTGCGCGTATTTGAAAACACTTCGCTCATCGATCCTCAATTAGCAAAACTCGCTGACCATTCGCGAGATTAGATTTTTTAACATACCTCTTTCTTTCATACTCGGCGTAGAGTACAAAAAAAAAAAAAACACATTACTAGAATTATGCTGCTTATTACGCGTTAATGTAGTGATATGCATGAGAAGTCTTTTCAGAAACAGCTGCGGCGTATTGCACGTTATAATGAGTTACTGGCGCTGTGAGTTTGATAGCACAGAACAAATGCGTCCTTGACCCATTCGCCATAGATTCCGTACATACACTATAGATAATATAATAAAATAGTTTAGTGGAGACACACATTTTCAAAACGATTGCCTTCTACTTCCGATTGTTATAGACATATGCAAACGTCGCTCTTAGCAAGCACGATACAAATCTTCTACGTGTTTTTTTTTTAATGTAAAAATATAATTTGATATTTTGAAAGTGCTAAGCGAAACAGAGAGCGGTTTAGAAAAATTATTGCCTATTTGCTAAAAACAAACTTCTCCGTTCCTAGTATAATTTGCTCTAAACTACGACTCGTGCACTGATAGCGAAACATTTAGTGATATCAATTTAGAGTGTAGAGATGTGTGTACAATCTAATAACAACGTCTTTTCAGAGATCTATAGAAACGGTCCGGAAAAATTCCACGCGCGATCGATGATGCATCGTCGGGAAAGGGTGTTAGGGCTGGAAAGCGAGAAGGGATCAAGGGACGACTAATGAAGTCCTAATAAACGGCGCCGAAGCTCAGACAGGCGCGGCACCCTTCCGACTTGATATTTAATACAAACGTTACAATATCAAAACACGTCCTCTGGGCTCCGAATGCCCACTCGAGCGCACCCCTTGGTCGTGCACGCGATTAATACCAGGCTATACCTAAAGGTGTAAGTATCGCGAACCCCTACCGTTGTACCGGCTCTAATACGAACGAGCATACACGCACACCCCTTCAGAATCCGCGGAGAGAGACGACGAGGAGCTAACTGTAATTCCCTGGTGTTCTCGTGCTCGTACACACAATGGCCGGGTGGACGGCGTGAGAGAAATAGGGGGAGGGGGGTGAGAGAGAGAGAGAGAGAGAGCAGAAACTAGCCCTCTAAAGACGTGCCAGTTATTTGCGCGAGTTATTATCGCTCGTTAAGAGTCGGCATTCGAGAAGCGCGTTTAACAATTTGCTTA